GAGAGGCAATAGATATGTCCCAATGGCCTTAAAAGCCTTAAATGCAAAATCTAGTTTACAATTTCTATATGGCGCTTCCATTTGGATAAGCGCAATTAACCAATCAGCAGAGGGTTTAAAATCCTTTTTTTGTGTGTGGAAAATCCTTGGACTCCCTAATTGTGTCCCATACGCTGCGATCTGTCTTGAAACTGGCCAGATGCTGCTGGAAACTCGGGCCTGGCTTCTGACCATCAAATTCTGGCTGTGCCTTCTGTTTAATCCTGACCCAAATTCCTTTACCTTTTTAATGCTGACAGATCATTATGAACCTAATTGGCTGAAATTAGTCCCCCCCAAAATTTAGGTCCTTAAGAATACATCTAGATCCACTTTACTTATCATCTGCCTCCACAATATTTTATACAATTAAACGCAGGCTTCTAGATATTCAATTTCAGCACCTGACTGAGGCAGCCAGGAAAACCTGTTCCCCAGTTCATCTGGGATTATCCCAGACACTGGGCCAGACAGCTACTTATTTTTGTTCTCTAACTGATCACCATCAAAGAAGGGCATTTATATTAGCCAGATTTAACGTATTGCCATCGGCCATCTTCTCTGGAAGATGCCAAAAAATCCCCTATGAATTTAGGCAATGCCCCTGCGGTCAGGGTGCTATCGAATCTGTTTCCCATGTTCTTTTAAATTGTCCATTTTATACTAAGTGTGTGGCCCTAGTAAAGGTAATGTAATTAGTAGTTGTACAAATGTAAACCACTCAGAGCCCTTAGGGGGTGAGCGGTCTATAAATGAATGTAAATAAATAAATAAATAAGATTCAAGGAAAATTTCTGGACACCCTTCTTTTTACATGGCATGGTCTTCCTGAGAGTATCAAGGTCCAGTTGCTACTCTCTGGGCAAAACGCTTCTATAACTTTTAATGTTGCTTGTTTTCTTCAATCTGTAATTCGAACCAGGGAAACTATTAATTGATCAGTTCTTTTTTGTTGGCTGTTCGACAGCCATACCTTTGATGTATTCCTAAATTTTAATGTTATCTTATCTCTTACATGCCAATAAAGGTTGTCTGTCTGCCTTACTACAGATCTTCCTTGTGCACAGGTTGTGAGCTTCTCATAACACTGATTTATAAGTTGCTGTACTTTTGGAAAGGCAGGAAAGAAATGTTTTCAAAAAGAATGATGGAAAGAAAATCATGACAATGCACCAGAATCATTAGGACTGGCAATCATACTGGGCTGGTATCATCTTTTCTTCAAGAATCTAATGTTGAGTAGTTTAAGAGCATGTACGGGCTGGGGTGAGGAGGTTAACAGACAGTTTTTCCTATATCCTGTGAATTATCAAGAAGTTTAGAGTATACCCTCGGGGGAATTTTTCTTTCAATCTGCTATGCATTCTAATTCACCAGCACTCTTTTTGTCTGGGATCGAACAAGCAAAAAATATAGTGAGTATGCTGAAGAATACATATTTAAATGGACAGGAAAAGTCAAGACATAGCTCTCTGTTTCTTTGAAGCAGGTGGGTGGAATAGAAGGTCACTGCATCACTATCCATAAAGCTCAACTGGATTTGGCAGATCGCTTGTGATCAAAATGTGATGAAGTTATGAAAAGGGAGAAGATGGCTTGAAAATTGTGGATGATGACAGCTTAGTGTGTCATTAAGTAAAATTGAAGTAATGTATATCATTACTCTGCCTACCAATCCGTTTTGGTTAACACAAAAAGCAGGAGTGCAGATTCACCACTTTGAACATGAAATTGATGGCAGACAGCTGCATTTCCAGTGTCCTTGCAAGGTTCTTTCCTATGTATTTT